TTACATGAAATGATGTCACCAATGCAATGGACTTAGGCCAGGGTGGTGTCAAAGTCTGAGGTCAGGGACCAAGACAGGATCTTGGGGTGGAGGTATGATTGGTGTCCAAGGTCAGGGTACAGGGCAGAATGAGGGGTTGTACCTTGGCAGAGATTAGGTGGGGGAGAGTCAGGGGGAATGGAAGGTCAGGTCAGGTCTGAAGGTGGGGATTGGAATGGACAGGAATAGGGGTAAGACTCTGGAGGTGGTGGAAAGGGTCTGGGAGTTGAATTGGGATCGGGTATGGATGGATATGACAATAATCAGAAATTCCCCACAACCACTGATCCAATTGGGATGAAATTCTATGCTGGGTCTTTGGGTATTTTTCTGGATTTAATGACCCAAATATTATCCTCTGCCACCAACTTTTGACCTCATTCCCATTGAGTCATGGTCAAGTGCATGGACTTAGCACAAGAGGACTCCTTAGCTTGAATTTCTCTGAACCAATTGCTTTGTGGAAAGGCTCATTTGGTTCATATGAAAACCCTCTCATTGTGCCCTCCTATCATTCCTTTTCCCTAATAATGTACAAGGGCAGGAGCCCACTTTTTGATGTATTAACTGTGAAAGGTTCCACAAAAATGAGCACACCTGTCATGCCCTCCTACAGCATTGGATGCATCCATGCTACAGATGTAAGGAAAAGGGAGTCATCCATATAGGGATAGAGAGGAAACAAAGGAAGGAGAGAGAGAAGGAAACAAGGAAGGTGTCAGGAACACAGCGAGGAGGGCAGTGTCCCTGGACCTTTCCCTGGAGGGGAAAACCCAAGGGGGACTTACCCACTTGCTGGGTCGGCAAGCTCGTGAGAGAATCGCCTTATCGAGCGTTGTGGAGTGGGTAGGTGAAGGGTGGAATTAGTGACAGCTACTGGAGAGTGGGAAAACCTTTGCAGGGTGGGTGGAGGTCCCAGGAGGTCCGTAGTAATATTGGGTAGATAGAAATATTTAGGATGAGGATAAGAGGTACCGGAGAAGGTACCGGAGATTGGAGGTGGAGGTGAACCAGAGGGTATGGCAGAGGTGTGGGGGGAGGATGGACCGGAGGTGGACCAGAGTGGTGGCAGAGTGGAGTGGTGTCAGGGACAGCTCCGAAAGCGGCGAGGTCCCGGGGTGTGGGACTTGGGGGGACGGATAGCGGCTATGCATAGTGGCGATCCTGTTGTGGGGTGAGCATCCCCGACCACTTAGTCTGAAGTGGAAATGTGAGAAGAAGGCTACTTCTTCGGTTTCCACTCCAGGTGTTATTATATACAAGCGGGAATGGTCACGTGGGGTGCGCCACGTCACCCTTGCACACAGCCACGGCTCTCCGGGTGCTTCTGCGGAAGATCCCAAGAGGGCCCGCTGTGGGTGCAAGGCGAGTGCGGTGGTGGTGGCGGTGGTATAGGGATGTAAGATACAGGAGGGGAGATGGGCGTGTGCACCGGTGATACATTGAGCAGGGGGAAAGGTGGTCCATGTAAGAGAAAGAGAGAAAGAAAGAAAGGAGGAAAGGAGAACAGGAGAAAGGAAGAGGGAAAGGAAGGAGAGGCGGTGCGGAGTGGGGATCGGGTGGGGCATGTCGGGGCATGCCCTGACAAGCGGAGGTGGAGTTGGTATGGATATGACAGAAGGGAGAGTGCAAGGAAGGGATGGTGGTTACTTTATTCCTTTATTATTTCTTGTTGTACCATGTCAGAGACCAGATTGAGATGAAGGAATGTCTCCATGGTGGAGGGCTTCGGCCTCAGCAACTTATGCCAGGAGCACTGTGCCAAGTTACACGTCCATGCCCTAATTTACTTACTGGCAATGAGAACTAAAGGGGTCAACTCTAGTCGATTTTATTACTGAGGTGTAACCTATGTACAAGTTGAGTATATATAGTTACAACGAGGGCAGGCCCATAAATGGCGGGGCCGAGCAGAGCGGAGCTAATGGAGTTAAACATTAGCCGATTGAATATTACTGACAAGTCGGGTTACGGGGTTAGCGGAATGGTAGGCGATAACCCAGAAATGGAAAGGAGGGATAGGCCCGAAGGTGGGCTTGCAGGGCAAGTGAGTGTATTGCCCAGTGGAGGCGGGAGTGTGCTAGCAGATGTCGGAGCTGTCCGGAAGCCTTTGGGGCTCCATACTTAGGGAGGCATAGGTAATATATTGAAAAGAGGGGGTGGTGACCATCGAGGGAAGTGGAGGTGATTGCGGAATACAGGAGCTCCAAGGTTAGTGAAGAAGGAGCAGAGATAGTTCAGAGGGATTGGAGGCAGTGTGTCAGGGTCGTGCGTGCTCGCAATGAAGGATGCCCCAGAAACCTAATTGATATCAAAGCTGGGGGACATGCCCATCCCAGCACACGGTCATATATACATGGTAGAGGTGGTAACTAGTCAACTAGCTAATAACCGGTAGTATCGGATCAAGAATGATAGAAGATCATGCGGCGTCATAACCGACAGCTGCAGATCGGATCAGATCGGAGATGAAGAAGAAGAAAAGAAGTAGAAGCTGATGGAGATACAGGTCATGTGGCAATGCGCTACTTACACTAGCGACCCGAAGGCATGCCCTGACACAGTGGAAGTTGATGGCCGTGGATGGATATGACATACCACCTGTATTTACTTATGTATTGCCCAGAGTTGAGTGAAGGGAACTGGACTCTCCTCCTCATCACATCGAAATACTAAGTTCTATACAACCTAGCTTCCAACTGTCTTGAGGACTGAAGAGGCACTAAGGTCAGAACCTACACTGGTCTTACAGAGAGAGAGGGGGAGAGGCAGCATGCCCTGACAGAGACTTCATTCTCATAACAATGCAGTTGTACTGCATTTTTGAGGGAATCTGTCAATTTCCAAATGAATGGGGTATCAATATGGTTGTCAGAATCAGCTTGAAAGTGATCAAATTTTGGGGATTTTTTATTTTCAACACAGTTAGGATTGTATTGTAATAGCGCTGCACTGCCATTCTAAGCTGCTGTGCTTGAGCACTTTTAGGCTTCGTTCAGGTTGAAGAAACTGGTTTCTTCAACCCATTTCTTCCAGTTTCTTAATTCTTTATTTGCGTTTTTCTTTCTCGCTTTTTCTTCCTGATTCTTTCACTTTCAGCAAGAAACTGTTAGAGACTGGATGTGAGATGAAAGGAATTGTCTCCATGGTGGAGGGCTTCGGCCTCAGCAACTCAGACCAGGAGCGCTGTGCCTAGTTACACATCCATGCCCTAATTTACTTACTGGCAGCGAGAACTAAAAAGGGGGATTAACTCTAGTCGATCTTATCACTAGTGTCATATCCATCCATGGCCATTGTCCTCCACTACCTCCGATCCCTCTGGACTACCTCCACTCCTTCGTCACTAACCTCAGAGCCCCCATATTCCACAATCACCTCCGACTCCCTCGATGGTCACCACCCCCTCAATTCAATATATTACCTACACCTCCCTAAGTATGGAACCCTGAAGGCCTCCGGACAGCTCTGATGTTCGCCAGCGCACTCCCGCCCCCACTGGGCAATTCACTTGCTTGCCCTGCAAGTCTACCTTTGGGCCTATCCCTCCTTTCCCTTTCTGGGTTATAGCCCACCATTCCGCTAACCCTGTAACCTGACTTGTTGGTAATATTCAGTTGGCTAATGTTTAACTCTGTTAGCTCCACTCTGCTCGGTCCCACCATTCATGGGCCTGCCCTTGCTGTAACTATATATACATAACTTGTAGATAGGTTACTGTCAGGGTTCAGCACCCTGCCTTAGGGTGCCCTGGACTCCCCACCTACTTTACCCCCTTTTATTCTTTGACTGTTGCCTTGTTGCTGCCTTTGTGTGTTGTGTACACGCGTGCACGGGATAGCGTGGGAACTTTCTGAGCGAGCAGCTCGCCCAGAATGTTCCCACACTTACTGGGCACTGCCACCTGGATGTTCCCTCCGGGTCACACTACACAACTCTAGGAGCTGTATAGTTGTGGGCATGTGACCCATTCCTTTATATAGCAACCATGCGGGGAGATGAGACCTTTACCCTTCTTCTCATCTCATGCCCCACATAGGCAAGTGTATATATTATCTTTCCTTTTACTATACATCTCATGCCCCGCATAGTGTGAGGACAGGTTAGATGGGGGTTGGGGTCAGGGAGCCTCCGAGTCCGAGGCCGGGCCCTGACAGTTACACCCTAGTGATAAAAATTGACTAGAGTTATCCCCCTGCTAGTTCTCTCTGCCAGTAAGTAAATTAGGGCATGGACATGTAACTAGGCACAGCGCTCCTGGTCTGAGTTGCTGAGGCCAAAGCCCTCCACCACGGAGACATTTCCTTTGTCTCACATCCGGTCTCTAACAACTAGGGTGTAACCTATCTACAAGTTATGTATATATAGTTACAGCAAGGGTGGGCCCATGAATGGTGGGACCAAGTGGAGCAGAGCTAATGGAGTTAAACATTGGCCAACTGAATATTACTGACGAGTCAGGTTATGGGGTTACTGCGTTTTTCAGAGAAACTGTCCGATGAAAAGTGAATGGGGTATGACCCCGTTCGTGAGAAATCAACCAAGAAATGACCAAATTTCTGCAATTTCCACCTTTCAATACAGTCCGAATTATATTTCAATATATTAGTTATGTGTTCCCCGTCCATTCCCCGTCCCCCATCCATTCCACGTTCCCCATTGACGGTGACTACATTGACAGAGATCCAGCGATCTAGCTCAATCCTCACATTGGTCGTGATCGGACCATGTCAAGTTAATTAGTTTTGCTGTATTCTAAGGACAATCGCCATCATAAGGACAATAACACTAGCATCTTTGCCGTGTCCTAGAAAGCCCAACTGCAGGGATATCATGGTGCTGTCTGTAGTGTCTCATCAAAAGGGCACATAAATATGGGCACTCATGAAAGCAGAGTCCCCGTCAAGCTCTTGTCAGCTAGATCTTCTCTGATAGCGGTCTCTCAGTTCTTTGCTTGAACTATGCACGATCTAAACTACTATGTTCTCAACAGGGATAAGCGTGCCCGATGGAATGATGACCACATTATGGGATTAGCCCCGCGCCCGCTCCCAAAAACATCCCAACAAGCTTTCCAACAGTTCTTTGCAAGAGGGCATGCTTTATTCTTGCCAGATGACTCTGATCGAGTCCTTGATGCTCTGGATCCCTCAACGCATGACTTGCCTCCCAAAAACTGGACTGTTCAGTTTCCACCAAATTGTGCAAATTTTAATTTGAGTGGCCGGATAAACACTGACATTAGACTCATTTCATTCAGGGGAAGCACTCCCATCAGACAATCTGACACGCATCAATTGCGAAACATTCATTGTACGGAAGCAGAAAGCTGAGCAGGAGCACACAGACCATCAACAGACTGCTGCTGCCGCCGCACTTTCCACCGCAGCACAGCCCCCCATGCCACCTCTGCCCCAACTCCCATACTCTACATACCCAATCACGTACCCCATTGTTCCCTTTCCTAGTCAACTGTCCATATTCCTCCCTCAGCATCCTACTTCCTCTCCTCCTATTGCCACCCTTACACCGGTACCTGCTGCAAAGTTGTCACCGAAGTCTCAATTAAATGAAAGAGCAGAAAGTACATGGTTCTCTCGACTCATGAGCTTCACTCAATAACCCAAATAGAACTACTTGGAATATGCTACCAATGCAATACACTGAATCCTGACAAGGTGACAACGGAAGCAAGTCTCCATCTACCTGTTGACTGTGCTCCCTCGTTTGTGCTTGAAAAGATTGAAGAAGGAATGGGTGTCAATGTGGCCAAACATGAGATTGGCTACCTTCCAACCTTTGATGGAAAGCGATGACGTGATACACCGGTCCAACTCAAGACTGTAGAGCACATGGAAAAGGCACTGCATGAACTGCGTGATTGCTTGTCACGGGCCCGGACCAATAAAAAACTATACATTATCAATATGGTATGTTCCAAAAGCCCTATCTACACAACACAATACTTATGCTTAATACACCAACTCACCAGAAACCAGGACCCAAAGCTGAAGACCTTGGGAAACGTGGAAAAGGCCATCGTAACAATACAGTAAACAATGCAATCCAGTCCAACCCGGCTTCGGAGCAATACACTTTGCTTGAAAAGCAGTGGGGATGTCAGAAATGTGGTGGTCACTGTTGGCCGCATGCCCGGGCAAAGGGAAAACACCTCCACCTTAGCAATGCAATGCTGTCCTTATGGGCACAGCAATGGGTATGTATAATTCATCGCAATCCTTGACATTGATCTTATGTTTATTGTAGACTGACAGTGTTCCTGGTGTTGATCTCTACAACCCTCCGACTCATCACTGGTTTGATGTTCCAGCTCTGGGGAAACAGACCAAGGCTATCAATGAAAAGCAACGCCGAGAATCTAAGAAGCGGAAACGCAGCGCTAGTCCACCAAGAACCCCAACAAAGTCCAAAGCCACGACTACACCAAGCCCCCCAGTAAAGAAGGCTAAAGCCGATGTGATGCCAGCCAAACAGCAGCCTGAAAAAGAAACAATAATCCTCTCTTCTGACCCTATAACTCCGGAATTTCTCTATCATCGCGCATCCAAAGTCGGAACTGAAATCATAAATCTTTCATCCTCCCCAACTCCTGGACCTTCCAAGAAGGCCCCTGTCCCTGTTTTCAACCTTTGCTCTTCCGACGATTTTCCTGAGTCCGACACTGAGCATGATGAGCTAGAACCATAGACTCAGTATATAATCGCAAACTTGTTGTGAACCCAAAAAATATTATTCCAATGGAGTTTAAATACATTTCTAAGCCAAATATCCTGAGTGTCATATCCGTGCATACCCGACCCTGACCCGACTTCCGGACCTCCACCCTCTTCACCTCCGGAGTCATAACCTACCGCTGCCGTTCCGATACTCATCTTCGGTCTTGGCAACACACCTCCCCCTTACCTCTCCGACCCTATCTCCGTCCGTTCCGATACTCATCTCGGACCGAACATCGCCCCACTCGCCACCCTCCTACTACTCCGCTCCCCCTTCACAACACCTTCACCCTCCCGTCATCCCCCTATGCTTCCCCGTCCGCTCCGATACTCACCTTCAGACCTGACTACTCTCCTTTCCGCCACTCCCTCTTCCTTACCATTCCCCTCTCTTCTCCCTCTGTTACTCCTCCGCCACCCTTCCACCAAGTTACGACCGTCCACCGCTGTTCTGTACTTCGCACTCGGACACCGCTCGTACCTTACTCCGAGCCTCCGTCATAGTCCCTACCTCGGACTTTGACTCCACCTCGGTCTTAGTCCATTGCATTGGTGACCTCATACTACGTAAACACCATTGCCAATATTCCTCGGACTTCCAACCCCGCCTCTGTAACCTCCGTAAGCTCTGCAACCCCCGAGCTTCGCGGACCGCCTTCGGCACTCTCGCCGCCTGTAATGTATTTCTCACGTTTTCCCTTCATCCCTATTTGGACTACTGCTTCTTTCTATTCTAGCCAGTTAGTCATCATCCCCACTTCCCCTCATCCTCCTGCCCCTCTGGGCCTCGCCCTCCCTACCTCCTTTTGGATGTATCACCGGTCCTGCCTTATGACCTTCGGTACCTATCCGCTCCGTCTACCCTTTGTTCCCGTTCGGACGTCTTCGTCCCGATTCGGTTACCCTTTGTTCTCCTTGTGCTTTTGCCCCTTCCATTATATATATCGGCACTTGTACATACTCGTCTTGGTTTCAGTCCGAAATCGACCTGAAATGCCCCCTAGAGACTTCCTGCTCACCTACTGTGAAATTAAGGACCAAATGGACAAACAGCAATGGCACAGCGCTCCGCTTGAGTCGCTGAGGCCAAGGTCCCTCCACGCTAAGTCTCCGATTCCACTCCGGAGTCGTCCGTTTTAGCCCGTTCTAACACTGAGTGGCTAAACCAGCCACGTGTCGACTCGGCAGTCACGGAATACACAGCTTCAAGAAGTAAACCTTTTGCACGATCCATATCCCTCCCAGATAGCACAGCATCAACATGATTCCTGTTGAGACGGAGCCAATGTTTGATCGTAGAGAAAGCCTCTTCTATTGGGTTTAAGTCAGGGGAGTATGGTGGTAGGAATATGAGATGAACACCACTATAATGTCAAGACCAGTAAGAGCAAGCTTAGATAATTGTGAAGCACACATACCAGTCAGCGCACATTTGCTCAAGCTCATCAGATTTGTGAATCGATGCGTTATCCATAACAAGAACAGATTGAGGAAGCGGGAATGGGTTCATGCGAGGAAGGATGGAACGAATGAAATCATTAAATGTGTCGGATGTGTATGCTCCCTCCTGAATATTGACATGGAGTATACCTTCGACACTGAGAGCAGGGAGTATGGAGTACCTGAGAAGAAGCTATTAGAATTGAAGCATGGATTTAGAGTCGAAGATGTTACATACTTGGTTCCTTGCACAAAAAAATCCCAGCGACGTGCTCGGTCACCAGATGGTGCCCAGCCATGGGAGCGTGCAGAGGTGTTGCGATTGCAACCTGTCTCATCGACAAAAACAAGCTGTTCAGCTTGGTAGTTCCGGCCCATATACTGCCTAAATGCAACTCGTAATTCTTCATTGTGTTCCGATGCAACTTTTTGCAGCTGTCAGAAAAAATAACTTCTTCAGAATGCTAAAGAAGACATAAAATGTATAATAAGTACTTTTTTGTACGTGAGACCCCGTTGCTTCAAGCCTCGCCAGATAGTCGATTGGCCAACAGAGGCATTGTGGTAGATCTCTAATATTCGTTGTATTTCATGAAGGTAGAGATCTGGGTTAAGCTCGATATGACCTTGCATCAGCTGGTCAATAGATTGAGCACTAGCACCAACCAATTGCCAGGATATGTCGTACTCACATCCAGATCCCAGTTGTTCAGTTTGCGGGTCTGCCCACGGTTGCCGACTTTCTCGAAGGGAATCCCCTGCCTGTGAGCCGAAAGAATACAGCGAATTGTCTGGCTACTGAAATGTGTAGCTTGTGAAATCTCCTCAGTAGAAAGGGTTTCGGACATTAGGATGATGAGTCGCTTCATGTCTGGAGTGGTGTGCTTAGCGCCCATGAGAGTGACTGTTGTGAGTGACCGTTGTGCAGAAGTTCAGAGCCCAGACTTGTTATGAAATGAGACCCAGATAGCTGGGCCCAGCCACGAATACGGAATACTAGCTAGCTCCAGAATGGGGTAAAGACATGCCAGCGGTATTCTGGCTCTGTTTAGACATGACACGCATCAAAACCAATCACGGAAAAGATGGCCAAACATTAGTTTGATCATGGCCAATGTGAGGACGAGAATTGAGAACTAGATTGCTGGGACTTTAGTGTGCAACGGGGAATGCGGAATGGCTGTGCAAGCGCTAATTACTCTATTGAAATATAATTCGGACTGTATTGAAAGGTGGAAATTGCAGAAATTTGGTCATTTCTTGGTTGATTTCTCACGAACAGGGTCATACCCCATTCACTTTTCATCAGACAGTTTCTCTGAAAAACGCAGTAGCAGAATGGCAGGCTATAACCCAGAAACGGAAAGGAGGGATAGGCCTGAAGGTAGACTTGCAGGGCAAGCAAGTGAATTGCCCAGTGGGAGTGCGCTAGCAGACGTTGGAGCTGTCTGGAGGCCTTCGGGGTTCCGTACTTAGGGAGGTGTAGGTAATATATTGAATTGAGGGGTTGGTGACCATCGAGGGAGTTGGAGGTGATTGCGGAATATGGGGGCTCTGAGGTTAGTGACAAAGGAGTGGAGGTAGTCTGGAAGGATTGGAGGTAGTGGAGGATGATGGCTGTAGATGGATATGACAGAAACGAGAAGAAACTGATGACTGTTTGTTACACAGTTTCTTCCCCATAGATCCTTTTATAAATTCTACAATGGAATGTAGTGACATTGAGACTTGTGAATTATGCCCCCAAAGTGGAAACACATTGACACAGATGTCAACACAACATCTGAAGCTCTGATCAATGGCAGCAAACAATGTTGACCTCCCAAAGGAGGTACTGAGTGTTAGAATGGGTGGATTTGGACGACTCCGGAGTGGAATCGGAGACTTAGCATGGAAGGACCTCGGCCTCAGCGACTCAAGCGGAGCGCTGTGCCATTTCTGGTTGTCCTGGGGGTCCCTAATTTCGGATCTAGCAGAGGGAAAGTCTCTTGGGGGGAATTCAGGTCAATTTCGGACTGAGGTTACAAGTTACTATGTACATTGTATATAAGGAGGGGTCCGGAATCAAAAGGAGTGAGGGTACTCCAAAAGGAGACAAAGGGAGCCAAAAGGGGGACAACACCGAGGGTCAAGGGTTTGACTCAATGGTGTTTCCCAAAGGAGGAGTGAAGGACCAAGGCCCAAGGAGGAAGGAAGGAGGATGGGAGTGGGGAATGGCCAGCTGACTGAATAGAAAGGAAGCAGCAGCCCAAATAGGAATGAGGGAGTATAGCGGAATTGAATGGAGCAATGCAATAGTTGCAAGGTCTGACGTAAGTCCGGAAAGTCCAAACTCGGAAGTTAAACTCCGGAATATTGGCAAACATAATTAAATGGAATGAGCTAACCAATACAATGGGTATAAGTGGAGGTGGGGTCAAAGTCCGAGGTCGGAGCTAAGACCGGAGGTTCCGGAGACGGAGATGCGAACGGGATTCCGGAGCAGAGGTCCGGAGTCGGGAGCATAGGTGTTGCGTACTTGTCTGGAAGGTGTCGAGGTTGAGGTTGGACCCGGAATGTTCCGGAGTCGGACCGAGGGTGGTGTCAGAGCCAGAGGTGGGATAACCTCTTGGGAGTCGGCAAGGAGAAGGTGATGGAAGGGAAGTAGGGCTCCGGAATCAGTTTCGGAGTTCCGGGAGCCCGGAGTGGAGGTTGGGATTGCATGGATATGACACTGAGACACCATCTGAGCAGGCTACTTGGAGGTCCCATGATGAGGCAGAGCTCATCCACCATCTTCTTGAAGTTAAGTGTGCAGGTGGTACTTCTAATATTGGCTTCAAGGACAAGGTTTGGAATGGTGCCTCAGTGCACTTACTTGAGCAGTGTGGGACAGTCTTCAAGCCTAGTGCATGCAAGAACAAATATGGCAAGGTGAGTTGCTAGTTGCAGCATCTCAGCAAAGTATTGACTGTACCTTTTCTGCAAACAGATATGTTGGGCAGTCAAACAGTGCTTGGAACAGTCAGGCTTCCCCTGGAGTAATGAAAATGGTGCTGATCTAGGACTGGAAGAGGAGCAATTATGGATTGATTTTGTTGTGGTAAGTAGCTGCTAGCCCATATCTCTTATTAATGATATTTACATTACTAGGAGTGGCCTCTGGCTGCTCCATTCCATCAAAAAGGGTGACCACTCTTTGATGAGATGGCAGAGATTAATCCTAAGCACACAATGGGATGCCAAGCATTCCATGCAACCAAGATGCCAGAGCCTGAAAGTGAGGTGTCAGGGCACACCCACCTGACCTCCTGTCAGGGGATGACTCCTGGGTCCCCATGACCCTCCCCTATGGTCCACAGCCCTATCCAGGGCACAACCTACTGTGGGTAAGGAGATGAATAGATAAAGAGGCAAGTAGATACACTTGCCTACTGTGGGTAAGAAGATGAGAAGGAAGCTAACTTCTCATCTTCCCACAGTGGCCACAATATCAGGCAAACTTCCGGGGATACCCGGAAGTCACATGAGGGCAGGATCCGGGGCCAGATC